GATTAACTCCATTTTCTCCCATTGACGAAGCATGTCAGTAACAACTCGTGTATCTCCCTCTTTTTCTTTCGTCCAAGATGGAAATACTTCAAGAAACTTGAAATTATAGGGTCCTGGCTCTGCATTTTGATTATATCTTCTGGGTCATAACTTGGGAACGAAAAACACTAGAACATACTGCTGTTGGATGTCATGTCCTAGAATGGTCTTCACATCCCTCAATCGCTGATGCAAGGGCCTTAACTCTAATGCCACATGGAAGTGCACTGCATGTATTTGGCACAATGGCTGAAACAGAGTCGTATCTGGAAATTCTTGACAAGACATCTGCCGCAGTGTTCTCTTTTCCAGGTCAGTACTTGATGGTAAAGTTATACTGTGCTAGTTGCATGGCCACCGTTGTTCAGTAGCTCCCAGTTTTGCGGATGTTTGGAGATAACATAAGGTTATTGTCTGTCAGGATTTCAATAAATTAATAAAATCAGGAAACCGGTGTCACCTTTTGTATTTGCATACGTCGATGTTCGAATAATCCAAAAGGAGTTGAAAATGCAGTTTTATGTCGATCATCGTCATGCACATGGCTATCTGAGGGAAGCCACCTGCCAGGTCCATGGTGCTAAACAATGTATATCCTTGAAGGGCATCAAGAGATTCCTCAATTCGTGGGAGAGGAAATGCATCTCGGCTCGCGCGATGGTTTAACTTCCTGTAGTCGACACATAGTCTAATGGTATTGTCTTTCCTGCGTGCAATGACTATGGGCGCAGCATAAGGACTCTTGCTCGGCTGGATTATGTCTTTATCTAGAAGTTTATGTATGTGGTTTTTAACTTCTTGATATTGGTTTGGAGGTATTCTCCTGTAATGCATGCTTATAGGCTCTTCATTTGTCAAATTAATACGGTGCCTCAAAGTCTCAGTGTATCCAAAGTCCAGGTCATTCTTCACAAATACATCAGAATTCCTTGCGAATAGATCAAAAAATTTTCGTCTTTCATCTAAAGTGCATTCCGAGTTCTCTGGGACGAGTGAGGATGCGTCGAATGGTGGAGGATCTCTGGTTATGTCATCATGCAATACTACCGTTTCCTCCCTTTCTACTATAGACAGGAACTCCGCTCTAGCTCGAGGTGTTGTGACAATGTCCCTTTCAGACACTAGAGCCACACGACTATTCTTCTTTAACCAGATGTCAGTATCCCTTGGATTCATGACTTGGATCGGAAAAGTTTGTCTGTCACTAACACAGAGTTTAATTCTATAACCCAAATTAATGTTATTTACGATTGGCTCGATGCACACAGTTTGTTTACACCCAGGTTTACAATGAGGTCCAAAAACATTGATGAAGGATACCGAGGTCGATGGAATACACACATCCTCGTTTGCAGAAACCCTAGCAAAGCCCTTCACTTTCCCAACTCTTGTTCCAGCCTCGATTGTGTTAATATATATGGGACTTCAGACAGGAACAGGTCACGACACTGTGAGATAATGTTCATACCAACATTTTTATAAGCCTAGGTACCTCCCTACCACTCACATCCTTGACTATCATTATTCCACGGTCTATAAGTGCGTCCATACATGCACCACTATATCAGTCTCGATACAGCCTACATAAGGGATATCCAGTCCAATAGCTGCTCGGAGAGTTATAAATTGTTCTTGAATCATGGAAATAGTTCCATGACAAATATTTATCATAAATGACTCTGTGATAGTGCTCACCATAGAACCAATGTCTAATAAACATTTAATGTCATTACATGTATTACTAATAGTGAAGACTACTGTTGGACAAGGTGCAAGTACTTTGTAACTGTTCTAGGCAATTGTTGAACCCAATGCACGACTCTCTGCAGTTGGCAACGTTAGTTTCCCTTCTTGAGGCAGTTTCTCTTTTTGTCGTAAGTATTTAAGAAATTGAATTTTGTTTAATCTTATGATAAAAAGGTGTCCAAACGTTCCTTGGAAATTTTAAGTATCAAGATTTAATTACCACCACTTCTTGCATATATCGTTGCACAGTGCTCTTGGAGTTTCTCATTCGCTACTTTTAATATCTTAGTAAGTAGTAAAGAAAAAGGCTTGGTTTATCATTTTCTTGAACCCGCTATGTATCTTTGTTTGTAAGATTTGTAAGAAGTTTTGGAATCCAATATAGATAATTTAGTTCAAATTCATTTCAGTTCTTGGAATATTAAAAATATTCAAATCTGATTTATGATTTTGAAGCTTTTCTTCCTTAGAAAGGGAACCATGAGTTGAATTACCATTTGTAGAATTAAATCCAAGTTCTGTGAAATGCAATTTATATTATGAGCCTTACAACCGAAGACAATGTACTTTGTTGCTTTGTCAGCAGGGACAAGTATGGATTATTAAATACAGAAGAATAGATGTTTTTCACATTGTCCTTCAATCTTTTAATACACGAATGTAACATAGATCTGATACATTAAATCCATTCTGACAAAATGTCAACGTCTTCAATTCTATATCTGGCCCATCGCGTGGCGTAAACTTCTACAGAATTCGTAACATTTTTGAAATTCCGACGCCAGTAGAAGGATCGAGATACCGTATATCTAGGACCTTTCAACTTTATTGATCTAAAGTCTTTTTAATGACTATGTTTACGTCACCTGTATTGGAATGTCCAGCAGGACTTTAATTAAGGGGTGAAGAAGAAATTGAGGATTATGTTATATACTTGTCAGAATTTCTAAGTCCCCACTTTTATTTTTTCTAAAAGTTCAAAACCTTAACATCAGTGTACTAACTCCTTACAATTTTTGCCTTTAATTTGCTAACCTGTTAAGGCCAAAAAATTGTAATCGAATGTGTAATTACTCGACCTTGACCGTTTTTGTTAAAAAGCATGAAGTTCGAGTTCCATACGTTTTTCGGGTGTATTCTTCATATTTTTACTTCCATGTATTCTCCATCTTTAATTGATAACGAAAAACACAAAAAATTGATTAAAATGCGGTGTATGTCCACACAACAATGTAAAAGCGAAGTTAAAATGACCCAAGCTGGTCGTAGTTAACGAGAATTCTGTTTTCTTTCACTGTATGACTTTATTTTACTTAAATCCTTTATAGTTACCGCCCAAAAAAACCTACAAAGCATATCTGAATTCCTTTTATTCATTAGAAATCGCTAGATTTTCAACCATCACAACATATTCATCCTAGAGTTTATCCGGAAAGGTCAATGGAACCGGAACCGGAAGTACCCTCCCCTCAATATCAAACTGGAGGAGTGGGGAATACATGTGAGGAGACATTATGTAATTATTGTAAGCAAGTCACTGGCACTTTTGGTTAGCCCCCTTGTCATCCTAATCTCACCCCTTACTTACATGTATGGAAGAAGATAGAACGGAGTGTGAGACAGCTTTTCCAGCAGCAGAATCTAGCGGAACTAGAGAGCGACCTAGTCTCCACATGCAAAAACATTCCATAAAAGATTTTTTCTTAAATTGTGTGAACTCTTTGAGTAACGGTTGTCTTGCTTTGAATTCGTTTGAATGGAGGATAATGCAATAAATTTGTAAATTTTTTATTCTATGGTGCCTTAACGTTTCTGCATATTGTGTTCAAGTGCTTTAATGAAATAAATTAAGTTCGAAAAATTGTTTTGCTACTTTTATCTCCTGTATACACCGTGGAATGGAGGAACCCTAACACTATCGACATTTATTGTCATTACATTCATAGGGAAAGGTTGTTTGCCCCAATTATTTATTTGAAATCTATGAACTGATATTCTTTTATTAAGTGGTCCCTTGGTTTTAACAACATAAGTCCACAAAGATTACATTCTATACTGTAGACAACATTAGAAGATTTGCAGTTCAGATTTTCCTAATTCTTTTTGTAAAAGAACTCTGTTCAGTGAGATTAACGGTGAAAGTAGGGACTGTCTGTCCGTTCGTCCGTCTGTCTGTCCCTCTGGTTATCAATCTGTCTCACTTGGTTTTTTGCATATGTTTTCTGAAAGCTTGCAGATACTTAGCTGAGTTTTGGAATGTGACTTTATCTTGATGAGTGATATATCAAGTTTTCATTTCGATCCGCTGCAGTGGCTTTTGGTGAAATTATTTCATTTTTATTTTTTATCTTGGACCAGACCAAACTCGACGGTAGGGGACGACTTGAATTTCTCATGCAGTATTTTCAGCATTCTTGTCTTTTTAGTCTTACCTTTTTATCATGTAAATTTTGAATTTACCTGAGGATATGATTAAATTCAAAATTAACAACATTAAGCACGCTTAATAATTTATAATTCTCTTTCCCCTAGAAAATTCAAATTTTTCTATACGATTATAGGAATATTGCTTTTAAATGATTTTTAGATGCTTGTTTTTTTTTAAATTAATTTCGATTTCATCGTTAGATCGGACACAAACTTTTAAACAGCAGCCCGTATTTAGGAAAAACAGTTTTAACTTTAGGATTAACACTTGATTTTCCATTTGAACTATCAAAATAAAATATAGATTCTGTGCTTTCATTTCCTATTAAAAATTTTCTCCTAAGAGTCCAGGACATGGAGAACTGGCGTAATAAAATTGCAATGTTCTCGAATTTTCGGGTAAACAGGTATTATTGAGTACTTTCAATGAAGAAAAATAATATCAGCGCACTATGTGATCTAAAAAATACAACATGTCTTTTAATCCCCAGAAATAGTTTTATCATTTAGTAGTTGTTGCACATTTTAGATCAGATGTTGCGCTCTATATCAAATATCGAAAAATAGCTTTTAAAATTGACCGTTTTTGTAGACTTTTTCAGAATATGAGGAAATTGACGCATTTCGTGACGTCATAATACATTGACTAACCAGAAAATTACGTAATTTTTATAGATGAGCAGTCACCAAAGATCTAACTGATATTTCATTGCATTGTTAACTAAAACTATGCAGTTTCAGTTTTTCGGAAATTCACAGGGCAAAATAAGGCAAAAGTGAACCTTGTTCTTTGAAATGTTGAAAACATCTTTATGTGAATCTGTGTATACCGTGATAATCAGAATATATCTTTGAACAAATGGAAATTAATTCGGATAGGGCGGTAAGGTTTTAAAATCTTTATTATCATAAAAGAGTGAAATCCAAGATGCAGTATAATCATGTGGACATATTTTACTTATCCATATCAACATGCCAAATTATTCGGGCGACACGTTACTTATTCATGCCAACTTGCAATTGTACAAACTCGATACTCAAAGGTAGTCTAGAGTAAAAATGTTTAATTGCATGTAGCATTAAGAAATAACTGTGAGAAGTAAAACTTAACAACTTATACAGTCAGATAGTTGAATATTTCTTTGATTTTTGCATATAAACCTCATCGCTCTATCGTTGTCTATTTTTTGTCTGTGTCTCCAACCAAAGAAAGCTGTCAGCCAGTTATTATACATCACAGACCAATATGACAGATGTAGATATCTTGACGAGCAGGATATTAACAAGTTGCTTTCATTTGTTAAATCCATTGAAAAGCCCAAAACACCGCTTAACAATTTTGCTGTGGACATTGTAAAAAGACTAGAAATTCTTGAGTCAAAAGGTAAAAGTAATAGAATACGTACGTGTAAATCATTTTAAAATAAATTGTGACAATGCATATATTCTGCACATCAATTGTGTAATGGAAAAACAAGCTTTTTTGAATAGTTTCAGTTTTGTTTATGTATCTTACAGCTTGTGGTAAAAATATGACGTATTTCCAACAATCTTGCTACTTTCTGTCACCCGAAAAGCAAACATGGACACAATCACAGGTATTTTAAAATCAATTTTTTCTATATTGTATTTGCTACCCCGATGTTTATATTTTTTAGCAATAAGATATCTTTATTTAACATAGAAAAGTTGTGCATTATACGGCGGTGTGCTGGCGGAAATTGAAACTCCAGAGGAAAATGATTTTATTGTTCAAACCATCTTTAAACCTTAGGTAGGGGATGGTAAGTCAAGCACAGAGATTTAAAAAAAAACATATGGTGCATAAAAATACAGGGTTGTTTCAAAAGTTATTTTGTACCTCTTGCAGCTGGCACTGCCTCTGATGTTTTTCCTGGGTATTATTCTGTGCAATTTTCAAGTTTATTCATTACGCATCCTTCCAAAACCCCTAGTATTCATTGGCGCCGGAAGCAAATTGAAAGTGGGGGGGGGGGGGGGGGGGTAAGTTAAAAAATTTTTTTTTACCTCAAAAAAACTGACAAGCAAAAAAAAAAAAAAAAAAAAAAGAAAATTTCCATTTACAAACCACAAAAATCCTATTTCGTGGGGGGGGGGGGGGGGGGGGGTCGAACTTCGGTACCAAATTTTTTTTTCCAAACACCACCACTTTCCCCATTTTTAATCTATACTACGTACTAGGATGTACCTGTAGAAAGTGGGAGGGCTAAACCTACGAAGATATGTTCAATGTCTATACTAAGTAAATATTTGGAAAAAAAGTGGGGGGGGGGGGGGGGGTCGAACTTCGGTACCAAAATTTTTTTTCCAAACACCACCACTTTCCCCATTTTTAATCTATACTACGTACTAGGATGTACCTGTAGAAAGTGGGAGGGCTAAACCTACGAAGATATGTTCAATGTCTATACTAAGTATATGTTTGGAAAAAAAGTGGGGGGGGGGGGGTCGAACTTCGGTACCAAAATTTTTTTTCCAAACACCACCACTTTCCCCATTTTTAATCTATACTACGTACTAGGATGTACCTGTAGAAAGTGGGAGGGCTAAACCTACGAAGATATGTTCAATGTCTATACTAAGTATATGTTTGGAAAAAAAGTGGGGGGGGGGCTAAGCCCCCCCCCCCCCAGCCCCCCGGTTCCGACGCCTATGGTATTTTGATATCGTACATGTAGCTATGTACGGAACTTTAGTTACATCAAGTTTCGAAAAATATCAGCTTATAATCAATTGAACAAATCCACAATTATTTTTTTTTAATCTTTCTATCATGCTTGCATGCATTTGATGAAATTTAATACAACATATGCTACCAAAAAAAAAAAGAATTTTTGTTTCCATACACAACAGATCTATGAAGTTGATGTATGACATCAAATCTTCTCTTTCGGAAAAAATACGGTGAAAAAAGGTGTTTTACCAAATTCTAGCAAAACAATTAAAAGTATTAAATTGAATATTGAATGACTTTTTCCTATACGACTATATGTCTAGATTGGAGCATCAGACATGAATGAAGAAGGAATTTTGTTTGGAATTCAACAGGACTGCCATTGAAGTTTAGCTACTGGAAATCAGGGAAACCAAACGACATAACTGGTAACGAGGATTGTGTCCACGCATACGTTGCCGAGGGCGGTCGATGGAATGACCGCGCATGTGCGGAAGTGAATAGATTTTTGTGTGAAATAAAAATTACATGGGATATAGCTATAATTCTTACGAATTTCAACAAAATAATTTTTGAAGATGCTTGTTAATCATTTAATTTATTTTTTCCTATCCTTTTTATAATGGGGGAAAATTACTGAGTTTATTTATATCACGAGATTGAAGCAAGAATAAATAATGCATTAAAATGGACTTTTTTGTTGCAAAATTCGAGATGTGAATCCTAATTTTATTTACATTATATTTGATATACGTATGTTATGCTCTGTCATGTAAACTATCAAAATAAAAAAAAGTTATCAATTTCTATGCGACTTTCTACTGTTTCTTTCAGCAAAATACTTTAAAAGTATGTTTCATTTTGTTAGATCTGTTGTCAAACCTCATAGACTATAATATATTTATATTTATATAGTGTACTTTCCCCAAAATCCTTTTTATGAATTTGGCTTTATTAAGGTCTTCCGTCTTCACGGAAGACCTTATAGTTATTGCTCTGTTTCTTATTATTATTATTATTATTATTTTTCTGACACGATTTCTCGACAACTACTGGATAGAATTACATGAAATTTTCAGGAAAGATGTGTTGTAAGATACTCTTGAAAGTTCCAAGACAGTTTTTGGAAATTCCTCTCTGGTGCCAAGTTTTGGACCATTTTCCTGATTTTAAAACGACATTTTGTCCACGATTAAACTCAAAAACGGTAAAAGATATCAATGTGAAACTTTCAGAGTTTATAGATGATGATCAATAATTTCCAGGACGCAACTTTTCGTTCGTCGTCAGTACTTCCTGTCGCTACCGGAAGCCAATTCAAAAAGTCCAAATTTTCAACTTTCTTTGTTTTTCAATATTTTTCATTTATTTTTGGAATATTAATAGAGACACTTCTATTGATGCTTACTATATAAGTTGTTTTAATATTGGTTAATCTGAACTCTAGATATTAATATTTGAAAATCTGAAGCGGGCCCAAGATGGCGGCTGTCTCTGTCAACTCCTACATTTCGCGAGTAGGGGCTTATGGAGGCAGCTGAGCGTTTGATTAAACCATTCTGACATAAGGATACATGAAATGCAAAAAAACTACTTGGACCCTCACGTAGTAGTACGTTGCAATTCAGTGTCAATCTTAAAAAATTTAATTTACGTTTCACTGCTTTAGTGTTACTGGGCTAGATACGATATGTAATGTGTACAATGTGTTAAATATACTTTCCTAACGCCGAAATAAAATAAAGGTGATAAGAATGTTTTATTTAATTAATTTCATTGAAGCTATTGCACCTCTTTAATAGATCAGTACAAAGAAAAGGTGCGAATATTTACGCTTAAAGCAGTATTCCCAATAGCTAAATGGTTCGCGCGTTGGGGAGAAAAGAGAAAAAAAAGGCGCATTCACGTTGGCGACCTGGATTCACTCCTTCTTGTGATCAAAATTTTGAATCACTTTTTAGTTCGATTTTACAAGTTTTTTTTCCTGAATCGGACGGAAGACCTCTCGTTGCTCGCAACGAGATCGTATCTAGTTTATACAATAATTTGTTTTTTTTTTTAATCCAAGATGTGGTTGACATCTTTTATAAGAAAAAGTAAAATATGGTTATATACATTTAATTCTTTTTTTTTGAATATATAATTTCAAATTTACCATTAGCGGAAAAAAGCATTCCATTAACTTCTTTTCTAAATACTATTCAATATACAAATGATGTATATCTAAATAAAACTAAGAAGATGCTGATGAAATGAAAAAAAAAATCTACAAAATGTGAAAATTCATCAATATCAAGTAATGTGTTAATAATGTTTCACGTGCATTGTATGTGATAAACGTGATGAATTTAACTTTTCTATCGTGAACTCCCTTGAGCACTTATGCAGCAATATACCTTTATCACCTGCATAAGGAGCTAATGTTTCTCAGTTTACTCAATACGCAAGAGCATGTTCTACGTAAGATCAATTTCAAAAACGATGTAAATTTTTTTACAAACACGTTGATGAAACGGGAATTTCAGCAGTCTCGTTTAAAGTTATCATTTTGTAAGTTCTATGGTCAATACAATGTCCTTGTCAGCAAATACAATTTATCACTGAGTATACAATGTCATTGTCAGCAAATACAATCTATCACTAAGTCAAATGCTGACTGACTTTCTTTTACTTATTATTAATCCATTATTTATACACTGAAATGAGAACAAATTTTCCAGTTATTTTTCGATCATGACAAGGAGCACACGGCGGATGTACCGGTTGTCAGGGAAAGCTCACTCCTCCATGGCACCTGATCCCACCTGTGATGTTTTGGAGGTTCTTGTTTGCTCCTATTTTGTATTGTTTCTTGGACTTATGATCTTGAAAACTGTTTGATATATCCATATGTTTCATATTATCAATCTCTTATGAAAAACACTATGAAGAAGAAAGAGGTTGAAAGATGTTTATTGCATTTGGGAAAATCCAATCCTCGCAATAGAATATGATACGGGGACATTAGTGTTTCACAAACACATCTTGATTTACTAGTTACTTTGTATTTTGTGTTATTTACAATAATATATATGTAAAAAGAAAACCCCTTTTAAAAAAAAATCTTATTGTAAACACTTTTCACATTTTCATCTCACTAAAAAATACCCCTCTCCATCCATTTGAATAAAATGGCAGTTTCATGCATGTTTTGCTTTGGTTAACTCAAAATTTGTGTCTGATCAAAAAGTGAAACAAGAGATGCACAATGGCAATATGTAATAAAGATTCCGTGAAAATCTCATCAAATTCCATTCAATGGTATGAGTGGATTTTCAAATAAGAGATGGGTACCCAAAAATGGAACAGATCGACGGACGGACATCACGATTACTATATACCATCCTGCTTTTCAATCGGGGGTTAGATATATAATATCTACATTTGGAGAGACGTCATTTTTATTTTAAATATTAGGAATTTTAATACCGTTTATTTAAAAAGAGTATCAAGAACCGGAAGGCATTTGCCTTTTTACGTTAATTTGAAAATTAACTTTAAGTAGGCTCATTACACCCACAGTTTATTTCAGATTTAATTCAGCATCACTTATAACTTACATGTCAAATATCCAAACGGAGGTATTGATATTATAAATATACTTTTCAAAGAATTATGTTTTTAATTTTTTTTTAAACTTAAGTGAAATGTTTTATTTCAAGTTTATTATTAACAGAATCTCAGAAATTTCAGTGTCAAATGATAGACATCTTCTTTAGACAAGTACATACAACGAAAATACCTTATACATGTAATTTTTTTTTTCATTTTTAGTAGAAAAAGTTTTCTTCTAAAAAAACGCAACATACATAAGATATTAGGAAAAAGGGCTCGAAAGAAACAAGGAATGTATTTCAATGAACTATATGTGACAAACTGAATGAAGATTGTTTTGCAAAATTATTTTGTTAAAACACATTCTGATTGCACACAAAAGTACTCTGAAGTTTACATAAAAGAGATGCTTTAGTTTCTGATTGACAATATCTATGTGGCTTTAGGAGACCAGGTATTCCAACAATCTGTTGGAATTTACCATGCGTTCCGTTAATTGGAGACCTATTTTTTTATATTTATATGAAGCAC